CCACACAGGGCTGGGCTGAGTCCCAGCCAGCCCCCAAAGGTATTCAGTGCCTCCCCTTGTGCAGCACAGGCATTCCAGCAGGATGGAGTGGTGACTAACCATGCCTGGCACCCTGGCAGACCCCAGGAAACCTTGGGGAGCAGAGGGAACCTGCAAAACAACAGCATGCATGAGCTGCTGAGGGGCGGTCAGAGGTGCTTTTGGTTTCCAATGATGATTTATTTGCTTTACACCTGGTTACCAACACTAATAAAACACAATTTGCAGCAGTGTTTTTCACTCCCCCTTTTTTTTCCAGGCAGAAGAAAAAAAATTTCTCCACTTCAAGAGAGATTTCCCTATCCCTGTCATTGCAAAAAGCTCCTTAGGAAACCTTTTTCACAGAATCCCAGGATGGTTTGGGTCAGAAGGGACCTTGTTCCACCCCCTGCCACGGGCAGGGACACCTTCCACTAGCCCAGGTTGCTCCAAGCCCTGTCCAACCTGGCCTTGGACACTTCCAGGGATCCAGGGGCAGCCACAGCTTCTCTGGGCAACCTCTTCCCCACCCTCTGAGTAAAGAATATCACCCTTATATACATTTTATTTACATTTATACAAACCTTAAGGTGGAAAATTCCTGCTGGGTATATCTTCTCTTCTGATGGCCTCTCTGTTGTCCCTGCCTGTGGCTATTTCTTGTCCTGCTTCCAGCTTTTCCCTGTCTCATTTTGCAGGGACACACAGGAGTCCCAGCAGTGCAGCCCTGGGAAACTCAGACCTGGAAGGGATTGATTCCAGAAGCCATCTGTGCTTGGAAAACGGTGTGTGGGTGGGAGAGGGTTAAGCCCCACACAGGCAGCACTGGGCTGGCTGGGAAGTCTCTCCAGAGGGAGCAGATGCCCAAGCTGCAGGTTGGAAGGAAGGGCTGGGAGGAATCTGCAAAGCCAGGGAAGGACCCAGCCTGGCCCAGGGCACTGCCAAGGCTGAGCTGCCAGAGCACACATGGCACACACTCAGTGCCAAAGGTGCCTTCAGGCTCCTCATCCTCCTCCCAGCCCCTCCAGACAATGGATCCCAGGGGCTGCAGGGCAGGGGCAGAGCAGGCTTGGGGTGTGGGGGGATGAGGATCCAGGTGATCACAGCATCCCTGTGTTGCTCCAGAAGTGGGATCACAGCATCCATGGGCTGCTCCAGGAGCAGGATCACAGCATCCCTTGTGCTGCTCCAGGAGTAGGATCACAGCATCCCTGTGTTGCTCCATCAGTGGGATCACAGCATCCATGGGCTGCTCCAGGAGCAGGATCACAGCATCCCTCAGGCTGCTCCAGGAGTGGAATCACAGCATCCACGGGTTGCTGGAGGAATAGGATCACAGCATCCCTGTGTTGCTCCATCAGTGGGATCACAGAATCCCTTGTGCTGCTAAAGGAATGGGAAGCTCCCAAGATGACACATTAGGCACTTCTGAAGGTCTCCTGCCCCCCTTCCCTCTCCTCCAGCTGTGCCCCGGGATCACAGACGCTGGGATAATCTCTAACACAACACATCTCTCTCCAGACATCCACACCTTCCCAGGACAAACTTCCTCTGCTCTGGAAGGCTGGTACCAACCACCCCCTTCCCCACAGCTCATTTTCTCCCTCCTTCCAGGGATAGGCTTGGAAACCTGTGTGTGATGAGTGGCCTCCAGCTGCTGCCCAGCAAGCACAGGGCTGTGTTTCTCCTTTGCCTGGATCAGGGGGATGCCGAGATGGTTTTGCACGTGGTCCCAGAATCAGGAAGCTCCAGCCAAAGAGGTTTTCCTCTAAAATCCCCACGCTGTTCCAAGACACCCCCTTCTCCCCTTCTTTTTTCCACGGGCTGCTCCGAGGCTGCAGAGATGCCACAGACCACGAGAGGACACCCTCCTACCTCCGACTTCCCCGGCGCTGAACGGCTGGGTAAAAATATCCATAATAATATTACAAGGACCGACTGGAACACACACGTCGGAGAGAGCAGCGAGAGCGAAACAATATGTTTATCCTCCTGCTCTATCCAGCCATTTATTTATGCAGCAAGTAGCCCTTTAAATATCCAAATGGCAGATCAGGCTGGAATAGGCAGAGCAGGGATTAGGGCCCTGCCTTTGGGGATTTGTGAGTGTGAGAGGGTTCGTGTGTGCGTGTGTGCCTTGTGTGTGTGTGTGTGTGTGTGTGTTGGGCGACTTTAAAATGGAATAAACCACATTTAGCAGCTAGGTAGCTATGGAAACATCACCAAAATTGTTCTCCCACCTTTCTGCCGCACTGCTTTCCGCAGCCCTGCAAATACTGTCAAGGGAGGACTGAACATTGTTTCTTATAAATAATGGAATGTAAAGAGCTACGGAAAGAATCATTAAATCAGGATCTTGAAGTGGGGATAGTTCAGGGAAAAAATTGTCCAGTAGCTCTAATATTAGTTTCTGATGACTTGGCAGTGATAAGGGATTTCATTTTAATATTTTGTCTGGTTTTTTGCAGTTTATGGAGCGATGCAGGCTGAGCAAATACATGGATCCTGGTGTGTGCACCTGCGGGGAGGGAAGTGTGTGTGCTTGTGTGTGTGTGTATAAATATATCTGCACAAACACACTCCGAAACGGGCAAGCACAAACAGAAATGTATCCACAGCATTTCCATGGTTAAAAAGCAAAGGACTTCACCTGCTTCCCAGCTTTTCCCACACGCTGCAGCCACAACCGGAGGCAATTCCAGCTCTGCCCCAGCCGGGCTCCCCAGTTTCTCTGCTGACCTCTGGATTTGCTGGTAATCCTGCCCATGGCCCTCCTGGAGCACTGCCAATCTTGTTGAGGTATTTAGAGGCTGAGAAGGCTGGTTATATATCACAGCTGATTTTAAAGAGCCTTTAAAACTGGGAATTAAATCTCAGCCCACCGGACTCAGCCGGAAAACGCTCGCTTGTTTTCGCTGGGGTCAGGATTTAATCCCTGAGATGCACGGAGATTTTCCAGGGCTGAGGAGGCAGATTGAGTCCATTTAAGCCTTGTAGGGCTGCAGTTTGTCCCCAGGGTGACAGAATGATGTACAATGGCACATTCCTGCTACCTGGCTTGAAGGACCCTGAGCCAGAGGGGCTGGCAGGGAATGGCCAGGACAAGGACAGGGAACACTGGGGGCCTTGCTGTCTTACAGTGGCCACGGGAGTCTGGTCAGGTGTGCCCTGACGCCCCCAAATTGATCTACTTTTTGGGTGCAAACTGTCAAATGCAGAGCCCCAAGGCTGGGGTGTCTCTACAGCATCAGCCCTGGTTGAAACAAAGGTCCCTCCAGCCCCACCTCCACCTCCTCCAAGCCACCCACGACTTTCTGCCTCTCTTTTGCTCCTTCAGCCCTCTTAGATCAAGGTCTCCTGGTCATTTGAGGTCCTGCTGCCACCACAGGCAGCTGTGGTTTCCTCTCACACCTCACCTTGTGCCTGAGACATGGGCACCAGAGCCACTCCCAGCACCTGAGCCCTGTGGGGTGCTCTGGGGACTGACCATTCCCATCCCACCAGGCTCTGCTTCCCCCTCCGTTCCTTCCTCTGTAACTCCCTGGCCTCTGTCCCCAGCCTCTCCTGGCACTCTGGATTCAGAGATTGGGAGCAGATCCCTCTCCAGCCCAAAGTGCTGTTGCTTTGACAAACCAGAAGGATGGAAAAACAAAACCCTTTATTGTCTATTGTTAAACTTTACTGTCCAATGTTTTAATAAACAGCCGAGTTCTTCCTCCGCTCATTAAACCCGCAGTAAAGCAGGATGGAGGCCGGTTTATGAGATTCTATCTGCACCACCAACATACAAATGGGAGGGCTTGGCAGCTGCAAACAGCTACTCCCAGTTCCATGGCTTCCTGCCCACTCCAAGGGCTGGATCTGCTGCTGCTTTGGAAGCACAGCTCATTCCTGCTCCTGGGAGGGACCTCTCCAGGGCCCTCCTCAGTCAGTCCTCCACTGAACTCCATATCCACATAGTGCCAATATGTGGATATTCCTACTCATTCTGCTCCCAGGAATGAATAGGAATTCCTCCTGGAGAGGACCAATGGCACACAGCACCCCAGGATGGTTTCAGACAGGTGAGCTGAGCACTGCTGTTCACTCCTGATTCTCTGGCAACTCCTGGCAGCGTTTTAATGCCCACGTTGGGTGGGCAGGGGCACACTGGAAACTTTAAATTCCCCCCCCAGCTCCTGTTGTCCCCACAGCAATATAGGGGGTTCATGAGGAGCATCAATAATTCACTGCATGGGAACCAAACCAGCTCCAGAGAGAGCTTAAAAATAGTGAACCCCCCGGGTCTGGGGGGACAGGGATGGGACAGGTCTCACCCAGGTGGGTGCAGTCTGATGCTCCTCCTGCAGCAGCAGGTTCTGCCTCAGCTCTGCAGCACCAACCCTGGGACACTGCTTGGTGGACTCAAGTGCCTGGAGAAACTTAATCCCTCTGTTATCTCTGGGATGACTCATGTTTGCTGGAAAGCATTAGAACCCTTTAATCTTTGTTTTCCCAGGCCTTCAGCTGTTGGTCTTGTGGACTTGAACATGAGCAGTCATGGTGGTCCATCACATTCCCTCTGAGTAGCACCGACTTCTAAACACCTTCCAAAAAGCTTTCAGCCACTTTTGCTCTGAAAGAAATAATGATCATCCAGCCCCCCCCCCCCAAAGTAATTTTAATAGCTCACAGTTGTTACACCAGCTTTGATTATCAGCAGTGAGGGTCTCTCTCCTCTGCTGGCAATACATCCCAGGTTTCCTTCTCACCACCATTTGGGGGCTGTTCCAACCCTTTGTCCAGTCATAAAATTATTAGCACATTATCCCTGGGCAATGACTTGTAATTGTCTATTTTTATTACTCAATAAACAGTTTGAAAACCAACCCCCAGAGTGAGAATAGAAACCAGCTTACTACTTACACATCTAGAACCAATGCTGCAAGGAGAGAGGGTGAAGGAACACTGAAAGGTACCAAAAAAAGCCAGAAAGGTGAGGATTTTGTAATTTATTTTTTTTTTAATAATTAATGGAAAACGTGGTGTAGGACATTTGCAGGAGAATGGGAGAGAAGAGGAAGAACCTTGAGAAAACCTGCCGGGGAAAGTTGCTGGAACAAATTTCCTTGATAACATTTTCATGTTGGAACATCACACCATCATACCTGGCTCCCAAATGTCAATGTTCCCACGTGAACACACCTGGAAAGCCTTGGAAAAGAAAACCACAGCAGTTATCTGACACAGTACAGCCATAGTCATTCCAGCTCTATTATAGCTCTGTATTCCCAGCTAGAGCCATATATTCCCAGCTAGAGCCTGGAGAAGGGGCTTTGATGGAGGAAGGAGATTGTTCTAAATGAAATAGAGATGCAGTTTACTGAGAGCAAAAACCAGTCCTCAATCTCAGCCTTAATTGCATTATAAATAGCCTGGATGCTTTCCTTCCATCCACAAGCTCGTTAAACCTCCAAATATATGTATGTACAACCTCACGTTCTCTAAACATTTCTATTCAGCTTTCTGTTTCAGTGTGACATTTTCTATTTCAAAGTTGACCTATTTTGAGGAGTAGGAAAATTAACTGAATTCCCCCAAATCAACACGCTTTACTAGGGGTTGAATAAAATGGTGGGAGGGGTTTTTTTTTCCTCCTTTTTCCAAAGAAATATACTTCTCACTGGGAACTACCAGAATGGATTTTATTCATTCATTTGAATTCTAGTTCAGCCATGGAATAGAAAAAAAAAAGCCCACCCCCTACACAATTTGCACAGCAATGATTTCCAGCCTGCTTTCACATTTCAAATTAAGCTGATCTAATCTATCCCATGGATTTGGGATATAGGAATCTGAAGTGTGACTAGGGACTGATAAATCGAGCAATGGGTTTTGTCTGAAACAAAGGTTTCTTGGGGAAATGTCTTCGGTCAAAGAACTGGCCCCAGCCTGCTCTGTCCTGCTGGCCATGGATTTCTCTGGATCTCCATCCCTGGGTTCATTGGCAGCTCTGGAGATGAAGGGGAGTAGAGAGTTTGTAGAACAGGCCGGTCTGACAGGTCAATCTCTGGGTGAATTAGGTTGAAATTGGATATTGGGAAGGAATCCTTCCCTTGGGAGGGTGGGGAGGCCCTGGCACAGGTTGCCCAGAGAAGCTGTGGCTGCCCCTGGATCCCTGGGAGTGTCCAAGGCCAGGTTGGAGCAACCTGGGCTGGTGGAAGGTGTCCCTGCCCATGGAGGGGGTGGAACAAAATTATCTTTAAGGTCTCTCCCACCCCAAACCATCCTGTAATTCTGTGAATTCACTCACAAGCTCTCATTGGAAGATCAGGGCAAGATGACACAGCAGGAGGTTTTCAGGGTTTTTTTTTGAGCTATCCCAGTGCCATTCTCCTATTCTGCAACACTGGGCTGGAAGGGGAAAAAAAATCCGTTTGGATTCCTATTTGCACATCTCAGAGCTTTTGCTCCAGGCTGCCTGAAGGCTGTCGGACAACTCTGTGCTCTCACCAGGTTTCCTTGACAATGCCTACAAGATTTTGTTTCTAAAGCCAGCCTCCAAGCACAGATCTCCCCTGCACAGCAGCCGCTGCAAACCAGCCCTCCTCTGAAGCCTCACTCGCCAGGGTGTGCGAGGAGCGAGGTCTGTGCAGCTTCCCGAGCGCAGAGCTCTGAACTCGCCCAAACTTTTCACAAAAGGTTGTGTTGGGATCGCTCAGCAATCAGTGCATGAGCTGCTAATGTGCAGCTCGTGATTGCCGGGAGCAATCACGGGGGCCGGGAACAGCGGGATTCAAAGGGAGATCAGCCACTCGCACAAGGTAACAAGGACATCTCCAAACGAGCAGCTATTGAATTGGGACCGGGAGCTAATTTCTCCCAAGGGAAGGTTATTTGTTAACGGCCTCTTGAGGAGTTTCGACAATTCCTCCTGCCACCAGCCCCCGAGGATTATTCATTCTCCTTTGGAATGAAAACTAAAGCTTCTTACAGGAGGGGGACAAGGACCACAGGCAGCAGCACGGATCACAGAATAGGCTGAGCTGGAAGGCACCCACAAGGATCACGAGTCCAACTCCCAGCCCTGCCCAGGGCCACCCCCAGATGCTTCAGGTTCAAACCCCCATTGCCTGAGTGAGACAGAGGTTCTCCAGCTCCAGACCAGGGCTGACCCCTCCCTGTTTGGGCTGTCCCAGGGTTGTCCCCCACCTTGCTGCCAACCCAGACCCCGAAGGAAGCTCCATCCCACCTGCAGCTGCTGTGCAGGTGCTCAGTGCCAGTCACTGGTACCCACCACCACCTCCATTCCCACCCAAAAATGGCTCCAGCCAAGCAGTAGGAGTTTGAGAAACAGAAAATCCTCTTATTCAGGCCAAAGTGCTGCTTCTGACTCCACTGCCACTCACACCCCTTGTTTTGATAGACAGCTCTGTCACTGGGGACTTGCCAGACCCTTGGTTGGCCAATTCCCAAGACCAGAAACATCACAAATAAGTCATTCTTTACTTCTTTCCCTTTCCCAGTCCTTCTCTAAATTCCTCTGTGAGACCATCAGGCTGAGACTCACCCAGGCCCTGCTCACCTTCGGGCACTTCCATGGGCAAAGTGAGTTTCCACATGGACACTGTTCCACTACCTTGGGAAAAGAGTCTCCTTGAAGCCTCCTGGAAGCCTGAGGACATGGCACAGCAGGTCAAATGGAGCGAGCCAAGTCCTGTAAAAGATCAATGACACAAGGTTGAGATGGAGAGGTTCAATTTGGCTGCAAAATGTCCACATCTGTGACTGAGGAGCAGAGTTTTTCCTCCTGGGAAGTCTGATGGGTCACCTCCTCTCCCAAACCACGAGGCCACTCACTGCCCAGGCAGAGCTGGTCAGCCCCCAAATGCAGGATGGAGAGAGTTTAACCCCTGAAAGCCCCAGGTGAGGGGAGCAGAGCCCTGCTCTCCACAGGCATCACACACAACAGGAGCATCCAGCCCTGGGGCTCTGCTCCAGACACAGAGAACACGAGCAAAGGCAAAAACGAAGCTCAGACAGAGTAGCAAAATAAATCAGTGACAGAATCTCAAAAAGAGACAAATGAAGTTGAAATTCGTCCTTGTTTATTTTAATGTTTGGAACGTTTTCCAGGTGATTTATGCCCCCTCTTCAATGTGCTTCTCTCTCTCTTTGTCTCTCTCTTTCTCTCCCCTCACTCTTTTTTTTCTTTTTTTTTTTTCCCCTAAAACAGGAAAAAAAAATATTTGGGGAGTTAATTGGATTTCCAGGCTTCGCAGCCAGACACTGTAATTGATCTCTGAAGAGATGGATTTGCTGGTTAGCTGGGCATGAATTTGACAACAGGAGAGGGAAAGGAAGAAAAATTTCCCCCTGCACACAGAGCAAAAAGGGGTCACATTGGCAGGACCAAGTCTCCCCTTTTCCCAGATTTCCAAGTTAAATAGTGCTTGTTACTTTGGGCCCCTTCCAGTAGGAGGGCTGGGAGATCTGAGCTGGCTGGGAAAACCCCCTTGTTTAGAGCTGCGTCTCAGAGGAAATGGTTTGGCTCTTATTTTATCCCAGGTTTTTGAAGTTACACATGGAAAAACGCCTGTTTGCCTTTAATCTGTGACAGGGGACACTCCTTGCCTTTCCATACCCCCTGTTTTTGTGTCCTGCCTTGGAAGTCTATTATCTCTGGATGCCTCAAGGAAGATTCCCTGTACCTGCAGCTCCTGCCACCCCACACACACCCCAGTCAGTGTTGCTCCTCACCCTAGACCAACCTTCACCCTAAACCTACATCTTTCACCCCTACTCTCCCTAAAAGGCAGGTGCCAACTTAAACCTCCTGGAGTTTCCTGTCGGATGGTTCACACTGTGAGGGGAAGAGGAGACACTGAGCTAGGGGGTACAGAGATCCACCTGACCCCTCAGATTCATTTTGCCCCCACCAAACCAAGTCCACACTGTTGGGCAGGAGGCCCATGGGCAGCACAACAAACCCTGACCCTGCAACAGAGGTTCCTCCTGCCTTGTACATAGCAAAGAAATTTATATTCACAGACTCACAGCGTGTGCTGAGCTGGAAGGGACCCACCAGCACCATCCAGTCCAACCCTCAGCCCTGCACAGGAACATCCCCAACAGTCCCACCCTGTGCCCCAGAGGATCAGCCAAACCCTCCTGGAGCTCTGGCAGCCTTGGGGCTGTGCCCACTGCCCTGGGGAGCCTGGGCAGTGCCCAACCACCCTCTGAGGGAAGAACCTTTCCCTGAGATCCAACCTGAGCCTGCCCTGGCACAGCTCCAGCCCTTCCCTGGGTGCTGTCCCTGATCCCCCCAGAGCAGAGCTCAGTCCCTGCCCCTCCTCTGCCCCTGCCCAGGCAGTTGGAACTGCACTGAGGTCTCCCCTCAGTCTCCTCTGCTCCAGCTGAACACACCAAGTGCCCTCAGTGTCCTCACCTGGCTTCAAATCAAGGCCCTTCCCCATCCTCGTTGCCTCCTTTGGATACTCTCCAATGGCTTCAGATCTCTCCCATATTGTGTCCCCCCAAACTGCCCCAATATTGCAGGTGAGGCCACTCTGTTCTCAGTTTAGCTGCTGCAAGAGGCTGGATCCTGCTGTGCTGGATGGAGCCATCCTGGAGGGTGCTGTGCCTGGAGGTCCCTCCCTGCAGCCTGTCCTGGTCCCAGCTCCACAGCAGATGGGAAGCAGCCGTTCCCGACAGACGGCCGAGCTCCGGCAGCTCCCACGGGGAATCCAGGCTCCCACACATCTCTGCAGGTAAACCCACCTGGGAATTTGGTGCAAAATGCACATAGCAACAGATTTCCAAGAGTCATCACTGTGATTTAGCACTGTCTGTCTCCAGAGGGGGTGAACAAGGCGTTTTTGGGAATGTGGTCACATGGTGCAGCAGGGCAAGAGCTGCTTTCCCACACAGAGCATCCTCCTCCCCCCACAGAGCTGCCCCCATCCCTCCCTCCCAAAACACTCAAGCTTCCTAAAGACTTTGGTTGTTTTGGAGAGTGCCACATCCCAGGAAACAGCACTCTGCAAAATTCATCTCTTCATCATAAGGCTCTTCTTGGCTTGTTTCACTTTTTGGTGCACATTTATTCCAAAGACCAGCCTGAGGATTCACTGGTACAGCTCATGAGGAGCCAAGAAAAATCCACAGCCTTTCTGAGACAGACCCCCCTTCCCCTCAAGGGTAACTCAAAGGATGGTATCATATTCCCATACACCTGCCAACCTGCCCAGGAGACGTGGAATTGCAGTCCTTTTATCCATTAGAGACCTCTTGGAAAAGCCAAGCACAACCCAAGCCTGTGTTAGTAAAGCCATGATGATGTTTTCCTGCTCAGAATCTACCCTATAACAACTGACCCAGCGTTTTGGGGCTGCTGACACCACCCCGGCACAGCCCTGCAGCAGGAAACGTGGGGCTTGCACAATGAATAATTAAAGCCTGGAGCCAACTTCCACGGGAAGTCGTCGTGGCCAAGAATTTGTGACATTTCGGAGAGGAAGCCGGCGTGCACACGGGGAACAAGAATAGCTGGAGTTACAACAGCTAAATACCAACATCTCTGCTGAAAGTGATATTAATATTGCAGGCAACCTCCAGCTATTGGAGATGATGAGCAGATCTAACACGAGGCAGCTTCGCCTTCTGCTGCATTTCCCTTTGCAGCACCCGCTCCCGGCCGCCCCTCGGAGCGGATACGGAGTCACGTGGATCCCATCCAGCTCCTGCAGCTCTTATCTTCCACTTTATTTTTTCCACAGCCTGTGTCAAAAATACTAAACAGCCTCATTTTGCCGTGGTTTGCTCTGGGTATAAAGCTCCGTGTAACGGGAGACTCCCGGAATTGCAAAGCAGGTTTGCGGCGGGAACGCTGCTCCTGCAGGTGGGAGATATCACTCACTGCCGAGCTCTACAGCTACTCCAGCCTGTGACAGGGAAGCAGCTCACAAATGGCCACGAGAAGGAAAACATCTGTTAGGAACTAGCAGGTACACAGATCATGTGCAAATTGCACAGCTTGGGCCCGGGTCTGCCGTGCCTCGCTCAGCAGCTGGCGGAGGTGCGAAGGCAGAAGGGACCTCCATGGAGCAGGGAGGCAACGCAGGATCAGGCACAGCATCCCACTGAGCCTGCAGGCCATGCTGCAGGCATTAGTGACCTCGGGATCGCTCCAAGAGTCATAGAATCATAGGATCATAGAAACATAGAATCATAGAATCAGCTGGGTTGGAAGGGACCTCCGAGATCATCAAGTCCAACTGTTGATCCAACCCTGCTGTGGTTCCCAGCCCATGGCACTGATGCCACATCCAGTCACTACCTAAAAACCTCCAGGGATGGAGAATCCACCACTTCCCTGGGCAGCCCATTCCAAGGGCTGATTACCCTCTCTGGAAAGAAATTCTTCCTAATATCCAACCTAAACCTCCCCTGGCACAACTTGAGACCGAGCCCTCTTGTTTTGTTGATCGTTGCCTGGGAGCAGAGCCCAACTCCCACCTGGCTCCCCCCTCCTGTCAGGGAGTTGCAGAGAGTGAGGAGGTCTCCCCTGAGCCTCCTCTTCTCCAGGCTGAACAGCCCCAGCTCCCTCAGCCTCTCCTCACAGCACTTGTGCTCCAGTCCCTTCCCCAGCCTTGTTGCTTTCCTCTGGACCTGCTCCAGGACCTCAATATCCTCCCTGAAGTCATGTTATGCTTCACAGCAGCACAGTGCCCCTGCCCCACAGAGCCAGGTCTCTCCCACCTGGAGGATCCCGCTGTCCCTCCCACAGGCTCCTGGCGCTGGCAGCGCTGCCCTTCGCCTCCACCTCACACACAAAAGAGTTCCTGGTCTCTGCTGGACCTTTACATCTGCTTTGTGTTATGGGGCTCCGATCAGGAAACAGAAGGATTCTGTTTCCATCAGGCAGGATCTCTGGTTGATCCCCAGCCAGCCTCGGGACTCGGTCGCAGTTCCCAACTCCGTGTGCTGTGGCTGGAGAGAAGAAGCACAGAATCCTACAATGGCTTGAGTTGGAAGGGACCTTCAAAGGTCAACCCCCCTGCCATGAGCAGGGACATCTTCCACTGATCAGGCTGCTCAGAATCCTCCTCCCTGTGTTCCCACCTCTGTAAAAGGACTCAGACACCTCAGATGCAAAGCAAAGTGCCAGCTGTGTCCAAAATCCTGCTCAGGATTGGCCTCTGGAGCCCTTCCCAGCCTTACACAAGCTCTGCCCCAAGGAGCCAAGGGAACAATTTCGCCTTATTCTTTCTCCTTCTTTAAAAAGAAAGAAAAAAGAGAGATTACATTATTTATATGCTCTTTATTCTTTGAGAGAAGCAAAAGGAGCAGGAGAAGGGGATCCATCCCTGGCACTGCACTTCCATCACCTCCTCTGAGCTCCTGCTGCCCTCAGCTCCCTGTCAGACACATCAACGCCTCTGGCACGGGATTTATCATGTCAAGAGGAGTTCACCACTTCTGGCACTGAGCAACAAGGTTTATTAAGTCCAGGACACACACCTCAGCAATCAATGGGAATTTCAGCTGCAACTTCACTGAGAAAGGGATCACACCTTTTAAAATCCCATTGCTCAAACACAGAAGTCTTTTGCACAGAGACATTTTGCAGAACTACAAGTAAACTCATGCTTCAGGTGGGCAAAGAGTTGCTGTAGGGAGTCTGGTGATGCTGCATGTGAAGCACCATGCAAGCCT